TTACGGGGCACCTGGCTAGCTCAGTCAGTAGAACACACAACTCTTGACATTGGGGTTGTAAGTTCGAGCGCCACATTGGGTATAGAGATTACCTAAAAATAGAATTTTTAAAAATATATATTGATAAATTTTAAGAAAATGCATATCTATCTTACAGAAAGATTACTTTTAAAATGGTTTTAAAGCATTTTTGTACTTAAAGTGGTAAGCCCTATGGGGTACCTATTTTGTAATGCTCTGAGATAAGAAAAGTGTTCTTTCAGTGAATGCTAAATTTTTCTGTTCATTTCAGAGTTATTAGGTCAGGGCGGGACCCTTAGAATCAAAGTGAGCCATTGCATACCAAGGGAGCCTTCTCAGGAGCCTTCTCATATACCAAACTCCTTCATACTTTGCTAAATTTCTCCTGGGTTGGGAAGTGCTAATGAAGTATTATTTTTATTAGGTAAATACCTGAAGAGAGGCTTAGAATTTAAATATGAGCATGTTGTAATTATTTGGGAGTGTATGGAGAGGTGACACTGGTGAAAATACTGTACATTTATATTCAGGTTTTGCATAGATGCTTATAATTCAGTGGGTTGGAGCTGAGAAGAGAATGAGAGTGAAATTAGGTGGTTTTCCTATGACTTATTATACACTGTTGTCTATACTGAGACAGTTGCAAAGAATGTGAACTTTGGTTGAATCATCCAAATTAGAAATAGACAGTACCATCAGATGTACCAATTTGTTTTCCTGGACTTACACATAATATGTGTCATGATTAAAATACAAGTAACAGAGAACACTTAAAGAAATTATTTTGCTTTCCAGTTTACAAGTACCCAATTCTTATGTGATAATTTAAATATCAGATGACAGAGTTTCCTATTAAATAAGGTTACATTCTCCTTTGTTCAGGAATCCTGGAGATAGAACTGAGTGAATAGGGAAGTCTTTAAGACAGAGAGGAGAGATAGAGAGAGTGACAGAGACAAGAGAGAGGGAGAGAGAAGAGAGGAGAGGAGAAGTGAGGAGAGGAGAGGAAACAATATGCATGCAAAGAGAGAGAATATGTTGGGCCCTAGAATCCTAATAGTGGTATAGAAAATAATCCAGCTGAACATACAACTCCAGCAACTTCTCCATTCTCCAAATCTGAAGCCTAAGAGTGAGAGACAGAACATTTTCATAGAAAGCCATTGGGAAGCAACTCTGGCAGGGTCCGAGTACAGTGAGCAACTCTCTGTGCCTGGATTTCAACATAGCATCAAGTATGAAGCATGTGAAGTGAGGAAAATGAAATGTCTTCCATTTGAATATCTGTAGAGAAAGGTTTCTGAGTCTAAAATGATTTCTGCCTTTTTTAGAAGGAAAAAGTGGCATAGCTTCACAGCATGCAATTTAGAATTATTTATTAAAGTGCAAATTCTACTATCTGCTTATTTCACAATTTTATCTTAAGCAAACATTTCTTTTACATTCTTTGGATTCCACTTTTATGCCATGAGGGCAATCAACTGCATTGAATAATGTGCATCTGACATGCTAGGGAAAAAGTATTGAAAGCATTAAAGGGTAGAGAATTTTCTTTAAAGCATAAAAAGTAGACCATGAATTTCTTTGAAAAGAAGTATCTATAAAGTGAAAACCTATTTAGCCTTGTTAGCAAATTAACCAGAATTTCAAAAATATTCTAATTGTAGTTTATGTGCCATTAGATTAGAAACATCTTTTTCTTGAAGCATAATATAAATAGAAGAGTTTAAAACCACAAGTTTACATTTCAATAAATTATCACCAAGTGTACACACCAGCATGAACCAACATCCAGGTCAAGAGTAAACATTAGTGGTTCCTCAGATGCAACCTGATGTTCATCATCACTATCCCTTCCCTTCTCTCCAAAGACAAGTCCTTTTTGACTTCTAAAACCCTAGATTAGTTTTGCCTTTTTAAATTTTATACAAATAAAAAAAAATAGTGTGTATATTTTTGTGTCCAGCTTTTTTCTCTCATTATTTTTGTGAGATTCATCTATGTTGTTGCTTATTAGCTGTGCTGCTTTCATTTTTTATTTATCTATTATTGTATGTATATGTATATATACATATATTCACAGGTATATTTCATTGTATGGGTGAACCAGAGCTTACCCTTTTTTCTTGAAATGAACATTTGGATTATTTGTAGTTTGGGGCTATTTCTAAAAAGGTCATTGTGCTTATTATATACATATTTTTGTGCACATGTGCATGCTTTCCTCTTGGGTTTGCTAGGTCACAAGGTGCGGGTATGTTCACATTTAGTAGATACTGTCATTGTTCTCCAAATCAATTGAGCCAATTTATATTTCTACTAGTAGTGTATGAGATGTTCTGTTATTTATTGTCAATTTGTTGGGAGTGCAATGGTATTTCTTTGAGGTATTAATTTGTATTTTCTTGAACACCAATGAGTTGTATATATTCTCACATCTTTTTAATCTTAGTCTAAAACGGATTTAATTTACGTACCAAAATTACTTACAGTTAGTAAGTTGTGGGTAAGTATTTAACTTTGCCCTTTGGCACACGAGGTAAGTGAGAATTGTTCCTTGCTGCGGTGTGTTAAGGGCAATCATCAACCATCCAGAATGTTAATCCATTTTTCTCTACTTTCTCATATCTTCTTAGTGATATGGTTATAAAAACAAAATGGTCCAAAAGCTTAGATTAAAAATTACATTCTAACTAGGGCTCACAGAGTTAGTTGGGAAAGAAGCCATTTTAGGTCAATTGAATCCTTTTACAACCATTAAACAGTGCACTTGCTTTGCTAATCAGTAAAATTTGTCTCTGGGTTATCATTTCTTATGTGTTCCCTAGTTCCCAAATTCTAGGTCCTCAACCAGTCTCATGGGAATCACCTGGGCCCCATTTCAGATTCATGAATTAGAATCCAGGCACGGGTGGGCAGTGGTGACAGGGATGAGCATCAGAATTTACATTTGCAAATAAGTCACCTTCCTGATTTTGATGAGTTATCCACTATGGATAAGTACATAACATGATGATCTTGGAAGGATCCATCAGCTAACTTCTATGTCCCTTCAGACAACTGAACCAGGATTAAAGGATGGCCTGTAAAGCAATTGGGGAAAGATATGAAAGGAGTGATGAGTAAGAGGTGCTGAATAGCTTGAACTAATTGTCTTTTAGTCTTTTAGAGAGTTGTCTTTTAGAGATTTCTGCATTGAATAGGAGAGATGATCGTATAGACTGCTGAGCATACATTCTTTACAAATAAAAACAGAATGTGTGTTGTGTACACTGTAACTGCCAAGCCAACAACAACTGCAAATAGACACCATAATGGACAGATACTCCTAACGGTGACTTAGTTCTTAGTTCTTCAAGTCTCTCACCTTTTGAAAGTACTACTTTTCTTAAATGTAGCCAAAACTATGTGAATAGACTTAAGCATTGAATCTCAATGAGGGTACTTGGCATAATGCAATAGCAAGCAGAAGAATGCTTGAAATAAATTTCCATAAATATGAAGCATGCCTGTCAATAAATTTAATTTCTGTCTGATTTAATAAAGGGCTAGATAAATATACAAACATGAGAATTATAAATTATGTTTTAATTTTCTTCACCCACTATAACTGTCTTACAGCAGGTTAAAGTTTATAAATTGAGATTTTATCTCAACTAATCTCATTTAATGTTGCTTCACAATTAGATAGCTAAAAGGAAATTGCAGCTTCTAAACACAAAGTGTGAGATTGATCTAATCAGTTCTTTTGCTTAAGATTATTGTATTATGAATTTCAATATTTTGAATGTTATAAATTATAATCATATATAAACACACATATATACTTGCTTCCTTTTCAAAAGACTGAGGCACAGTGTCTGATTACAAAGATAGATTGGTTATTGTATTATTAAATTGTTTTTGTTTTATTACATTCAAGAGGTATAGAAATATTTGAGGAAGTCTTCTTTTGTAGTTGAGAAAATTATCTATAATGTTCATTAAGGAACATCTTTCAAAACAAAAGCCTCACACTTCACTGAGGTTTTTCTCTCTGACTAAGAAGTTAAGCTCTAACCTAGGAAGGAAACAGTAGCCTAGACTTCTGTTCACCTCTTACCCATGATGGATCAGTTTCCCAGTTCACTTTTCTCTTGATGTTCCATGAGAGGCACATCTCCTTGTTTGCTCACCTGCCCAGGTATTTGAAAATACTGGACTTGTTCTGTTGTTTGCAGAGGGTGGCTTCTTCACACCACGCTGAGGGCTGATGCAGAGGTAGGGTCCCCCACCCACCAGACTACCCTATTCTCAGGATGAAAAGAAGTGCAACGAAATGAAACAATAAATGACGCTTAAAGATATCTTGAGTATTTCTGCTCATTTCAGAATAATAGTAATATTGCCCATTAGAAGGAGACAAAGGACCTTGTTAACTTAAGCTTTAAAATTCAGAGCGGGGGTGCCTGGGTGACTCAGTCGGTTAAGCATCCGACTTCAGCTCAGGTTGTTATCTCACAGTTCGTGAGTTCGAGCCCCGTGTCAGGCTCTGTGCTGGCAGCTCAGAGACTGGAGCCTGTTTCAGATTCTGTGTCTGCCTCTCTCTCTGCCCCTCTGAACACTGAATTTTTTTTTAAATAAAAAAAAATCTAAAAAAGAAAAAGAAAATTCAAAGCGAAAAGACTTTCTGTAGCATGGTATCAATATAACTCATCTTTTTTATTTTATTTTTTATCCAGATGAAATGATGCCTGACTGGCAAAAAAAGAAATCAATAGCATTATTAAAGATTTCTAGTTACATGTAATTACAAAGTGATTTTTAAACTTATCTACTTTATTGACATTTTTTATATTTAGATGTTTTAATTAATTTACTTATTTCTCATTTGTCTAAGGATTAGCCATTTTTAAATATTAAATGAAATGGTGACATTTATTGTGACTGAAAAAAACATCTTACAGTATAATTTCTTCTCTGTTGTGCGTTCTTCCTAGATGTTTGTCACCACTACTGTGTGAATTCTGAATCCTGTACCATTGGTGATGATGGCAGTGTTGAATGCGTCTGCCCAACACGCTATGAAGGTCCAAAATGTGAGGTTGACAAATGCATAAGGTGCCATGGAGGGCACTGCATTATAAATAAAGACAGTGAAGATATATTTTGCAAGTAAGTGAACATCCATCTTACTTTATAAAAGCATTTGAACTCAAAAGGATGTAGCAGTTCAGCAATAAACATGAAAATAATGTCAATTACTTTTATCCTAGAATTCTGTTAGCGACCATTGCATCCTTCTTTTTTCTTTTCTTCTTTTCTTTCTTTCCTTCCTTCCTTCCTTCCTTCCTTCCTTCCTTCCTTCCTTCCTTCCTTCCTTATTTCTTTCTTTCTTGTGGATAAAATTCATTTCTTCCCAAGTAAATGAAATTATTCAACACCTATTATGTTCACCTGGAAACATGAAAGTTCATCATGTAATCATGTAATGATGTGGTCAGATTATTCTCTATATAGAATATTCCTAATAGTAAGCAAGAAATAGTAAAATGCAACATACTTTTAAAAATCTATATGCAATATCCCCAAATTAGAGGACCTGAAGCTTTTGTTTCATTATTATCATTGATAGTAAGTTTTTACATTTCTGTTGTTAAAATGAGCCTCGGGATGGGGGTGGAAGCAAAAGACTTGTCTAATGAAAATGGATTTTAATCTTTGGGTTTTTAATCTGATTTTAAACATAATGCTCCAAAATAAGTAGAAGTAATAATGTTTCCTAGGAGGCCACCATAATAAAAATGTCCAAGTTAGACTTTGGTTACGTTGCCTTTTGCCCCTTGGCTTTAAGATCAAGTTAATGGAAAACAGAAAAGAAAGGGAAAGAGGGAAGGAGGAGGGTGGGAGGGAGGAAGGCAGGCAAGCAGGCAGGAAGGAGAATATGGAAGCTAAAGGGTAATGCCATTCAGTTTCTATTGTGAAACAAGTTCATGCCACTGAGGTTAGAGATCAGTCCTAACTCTCAACTTCTTTTAACAACCTTTTAAAAGAAGGGCTTGTAAAGCACTCAACTCTATCAGTTGCCTTGCTTAGAAGTATAATAAATGAGAAGATGAGATGGAAAAGCGTGCTGTAAAGTGCTCATGCCATGGCTTCCACTGAGACAGCTCTGCACGGGTGCCAGTCCTGAGTTATGTCGCTCTGCCAAACAGGGCCCAATAAAATTTTATTACAGACGGCATCGACAGTTTTTCTTGTTTATTTACTCTCAGTTTAGAATTTACTCTAAATATAATTTATGTTCTCATTATGAATGACATTTACTCAAACTCTCAAATTGGGCCATTTGAAAGTACATTATTTTTTTAAGTAAAGTAATTGAAAATATGACTAATTATAAATATGTGCCTTGGATAAGTATATAAAGGCATTTTCATATAAACTCCAAAATCATGTTTGTTCATTAAGCTCATGAGGTCTTTGTGATGAATCTTTAGTATGACAGAACTTTGTTTCCGTTGGTGGGTGTACATTTTTCTTTATGTCCTGCGCACCACATCGGAAATGCTCTCTAATCTCTTGCTTACAACTCCATTCCATTCACATAGGAAATAATAGACTGTTATCTAAGACAGGCTGTAAGTAGCAATTCCTTCCCACTATACCTTGGAAAAGCTCATGCAGAGATACACAAACTTTTTCCATTACAAGGAGAGGTTCCATATGAAGAAAGAAAGGCAGACTCTTTGTGCTCTCAGTACTGCCTACTACACAGAAGAAATTGGCTTCACCAACCTAGAAACACCAGAGCCTCATAACCTGAGTAGGCATGGAGATCCAAGATTGTAGTTCTTAACTCATGAAAGAATCTTCTGGAAAAGCATATGTCAGATGGATAAATAACAGTTGCTGACAACGAGCAGGCAGTGGAAGTTTAAAATCAGGAGTATAATATTTGATCAAATAGGCTGCATTAACATATAAGCATGATACAAACAAGGCTCTGGGTAGTCTGAAACTTCTTAGACAATTTTGTTTTCACTTCTATGACACTTTTCATCTTGGCATTAAGTGAAGTTTACAGTGATGCTAGAATTTCTGTCTCATAGGTAAATAACTGATACAAAAACAAGACCACAAGTGAGTTAAAGTAAATCTTTTACATAAATAGGAAAATTGAAGCCTCCATATATACTTGTGATTCCAAATAGTCAGGTGTCTTACTAATGCACAGTCTATAAGCTGTCAACCAGAATAGATACTCTGTCAAGGATAATAAGCATATTCTTTAAAAATGGAACTAATTGTATATTTTTCTCTTTTGTGGAAATCGAAGTCAATGTTGATGAAGAAAGACTCGATCATAATTTTGAATAGCCTAAATAATACCTTTTCAGTGTCAATTGTTATGGGAATTTTTTCTGTGTACTGAACAACTGGTAATTAACTTTTGGAAAGTGATATATCACAAACTGTGTGTGTGTGTTCATGTGTGTGTGTGTCACACTTGCCTCTAAGAAATAAAATTACGATGAAAATCTATGCTAAAATATGAGCTAAACTCTTTGATGTATTATAATGAATTGAGTAATTTGTACTTTACATTTGAAATATATACAAATTTCTGTCTTCAATTTAGGATTCAAACAAAACTTTTAGAAAGAGAAAGAGGCAACATCTTTAATAACTCTTGAAAGACGGAGTTTAAAAGCAATCAATAGTTAGAACTTTTTTATCTTTAAAAGCTGATATTTGGTGTATACTTATCTTTTTTGTCAGAAATCCTTTAATGTTTAATAAGCTATTTTTTCTCTTTGACGTTATCCTTTAGATATAGAACAGAAACTATAACTCTGCTCTTTGATTTTCAAGGAGGCTGGGATGGAGGGCAAGAAAATTCTCCCAGATCCATTTAACATACCAGATACCAATACCACTAAATGTGTACTTGACTTACTTTGCATCCATATTCAGATGCTTATAGATTATAAAGTCATTCTCTGTTAAACCTTGGAAACTTTAAACTGCTTCCTCTCCATGTTTGGTTCTACATGCACACATCTCCTATCCAGTACATAGTTGACTCATTGCTTCTGTTCACCTTGAAATGAAATGTGATTTTAAAATCCAGGCTCTTAAAAAATACCTTTAAATTAAACACCTGAGAAAGTTATAAGCTGTTTGGTGCATTTCCTGCACCCCTGCCACCTACATGCCATGAAATAAATATTCACAGAATAAATTAATCAGGACCACCAACTGATCATTCCAGGCATCCAACCAGTCATTGGGAATTACCCTTTGATAGAAGTAACACAATAGAAATCCATCATGGAGACCGTCAAAGTGATCAGTGATATTGCAACCTGATTTATGTGTCATGCTTATGTCCAGATTTATTGTGACACCACTGATTGCTTCATAGCACTAGTGCCAACATGATCTTATAATCAGAGTAGCAGAATGATCTGTTGTAATTCTGATTTGGGCCAAAGCTTGTATGAATCTATTACCCTACTTCTCATTCAAGAGATCTCATGATAATTCAAATAACAAGTTTCTGTATTTTTCCTATTTTAGCTGTGCTTGGTTTTGTTTTTGTTTTTGGGTTCTTTTTTTTTATTATTTTCATGTAGCAATAGCCATGGTGTTTATTCTTAGACAGATAATATGCTATAAATTAGAATCACTTCCATAAGAAAACCTACCTTGTTACCTTGTTGCCATATTACATATTGTTCCTATAGCATTTGTTTACTTTTACACTGAACTGCCCATGACTTTTTTTGTGTTAGAATAAAAGCATCAACTTTAATTACAGTATATAGTCAAAGAAAAAAAGTGGAATAAAATGACTGCCAGATAATCTTATACTTTCTTACAAAATCTGGAATCTAAAACTCATAACAGTGTTTTGGGGCCAGATTTTCCAGTTTACAACAGATAGCAAAAGCATTTGCTTCCAGAATATTTGATCATGTGGTTTATAATTCACACTGATGTCACCAAACCCTAGTTAAATGAAAAGGAAATAAGATACGGATGCTAATATCTCCCTGCAGTATAAGTGATAGACATTAGAGCATATTTTTTCACACATATATCTAACTACATTAAAATTTTATATTAAGCAAGTGGGTTGAAAATTTGAAAATTACCAAAAGACAAAAAAATTGTCTGCCATCATTTTGTTAAAAAAAAAAAAAATCTTTGCCTCCAAGAAGTCTGTCTTTCTGAAAACTTATTTTTAGCCAGGTGCACTCCATTACTCCTCTATGATGAATATTCTCATTTGCAGAGAGTTTATGTCAGCTTTTGACAATAACGATGGCAGTAACAATGAGATTTCTTTTTTCTTTGTTGCTGCAGCTGCACTAATGGAAAGATCTCCTCTAGCTGTCAGTTATGCGATGGCTACTGTTACAACGGTGGCACATGCCAGCTGGACCCTGAGACAAATGTACCCGTGTGTCTGTGAGTATTATGTAATGTTGTGGGCTTGTTATGGTATGACTTTGTATGTATATGGAATCCCTCCTCTATTCTCCTTTCTTGGGGTAATGCATTTTAAATGAATGTTTCATGGACATCTCTGATCAAGTATTGTCCTTCATTGGCTCATGTGCTGCAGAATCTCCTCCTTCATCAATTTGCTAGTGATTTCATAAAGAAGAGCTCATTCAGTTCTTAGCATCATACCCATTGAAGATATTCATAGATCTTTGAACTTGGAAATGCCAGGGAAAACTATTTTAATATCATTGACCTTATTTAGATATGTGAAACCCAGACATAATTGTATTTACATATACTTGGTACTTACAGCTATCCTTTGAAAAAGAACCTGTGGTATCTTTTCAAATGTATAATGATGTCATTTGATGTTTCTGTCAGGTTTAGAGTGTTGTATCATGTAAACCTATTAAGCCTCTGTCTCCTTTGGGAGACATTAACTTGAATCTGGGTTTCTAAACATTTGGAAAGTATTGGAGATTCTCTGCTCACGAGAAAAATCTAGAATTTATTTTTCTCCCTTAAATACCTGACAGTCCAGAATGGACAACTTGAAATAGAACCATTCCACTTATGTGGTTTCTATTTTGAGTTTCCTTTGATCACTGCTTGACTAGAGGGATGATACTTACATAAGATCCACATCTGCAATCTGTCCCCACCTTGTCAGAGTAGCATGTGATGAGTGTGAATGAGAGAGAAATGGGCTTACCTGACAAAGTTTGATTCATATGTTACTATCTCTGTATGAAATAAACTTGAAACATATTTAGAAAAAAAATCAGACGCTTTATTTAGCTGTATTTTACTGAAATTCTGCAGATGCTCTGTGGGGTTTAAAAGTCAGCGCTGTGACCAGAAAGAGAACCCTTGTGATCACTACTGTCAGAATGAGGGGATTTGCACTTTAACTGCGTTTAATGAGCCAAGATGCAAGTAGGTTTAACCTTCCACTTACCACTGCGCTTCGTGTGACATCATTTCAGGCCACAGTTCATTGGTTTAAATCATGAACATCCACATGCATTTCACAGTGTATACTTAATCTCGGGGCTCATCTGTGTCACACACACTTAACCTTTGCTTCGCTCACCAACAAGTGTATGCACTATAGTCAACTACAGTGTCTGGAAATATAATGGAGGGAATGAGAAAGCTCATGGAACTGTCTAATGAAAACACGTTTGCTAGAATAGCAGCTCTTAATTAGAGAAGTACAGAACCAGGTGTTCTTAGACTCTATTGCTATAGTCTGTACTATATTTGGAATAGTGGCTTTTGTTGGTGACTTTTCAAGTACTGATGAAATAATACATTATTTTGTTTCCCAAAATTCTACTGAGAACATTTACATTTACAGAAGAAATAGGTACATGGTAAAAACTTTGTTTTCTCATAGTTTAAATCTATTTTTCCTGATTCAATTTGTCCATAACAAATAAACTCATTTCCTCTGAGAAATTTCAGAGACCACCTTTGGGGTAACTATCAATGTTCATCACAATGAAAGTTATTTTTGCATTTTGCATTTGAGTTTTAGAGGTGGATTGTATCTGACATCCCCTTTAATACCCAATGTCATAAACAGAGGCTGTGATTGGCATCTGATAATAGCTCCATGGTGGTGCCAAAGTGCACTTAGAAATGGCCTTTAAGCGCAATTGTAGTGAATTATCAAAACTCTACAGTTTTGTTCACACTGGTCTATTTTGTTATTCAAGAAATGGTATTCTTTAGATTATAGTCAAAATAGATGGGGAATGATTAAAGTAATCATATAGGAAAAATTGGTATTCTTTTTTCTGCAAGATATTTGAATATGTTAAACTAACATCCCTACATAAACTACCTCCAAAAATATCACTTTAAATTATAGTCCACAAAATGTGTATAAACTGATCTGTTAAGGCATTGATTCACTTCACAGTTCATACTCAGGTTTGTACCTTGTCCATGTGAAGACAGAGGAGACTCTTTTTCAGTTCTGCCTCTGCCTGGATGCATCCTAGACAAGTGAAGATGAATGAAATTTAACCCCCAACATCAAGGAGCTCATTAATTATTGGGGTTAAAATATCATAAAACAACTAATTAACCTTTTATAACGTAGCTGTGACCACAGGAAAAAGAGAGGGCAGTGGGCTCTTAACAGGGCAAATGATTTGTTCACAATGGGAAATGGAAGCTTTACAGAAAAGGCAGCCTTCTGTGGTTTATGTAGTTCATGAAGTTCAGTGAGGTTGGGAAGAGCAATCTGAAAAGAAAGAAAAACATAAGCAAAGACATGGTTGTGAGACAATGTTCTATCTGTGGAGCTGTGAAGGGTTGAACATAGCTAGAACAAAGGGTGACTGTAGTTGCGAGGGAGAGGTGTTTGAGGACACAAAACTGGAAAGATGAGTTGGAATCCTATTTATGTCAAAGTTAGGGGATTCCATAGGATCCCAAAAGGAATGAGTGGCCAGAGAGATTTGAGGCAGAGGCTTGAGCTGAAGGAGTTGGCTTTTGAAGGTGACGCTTATTGCCATGTGAGGGAGAGCCCTGGATATCAGCTGCAAAGACCCCCCACAAGGAAGTTTGTCAACTCTTGAGGAGAAAATTGATGAGAGTTTGAACCTGAGCAGTGTAGCTGGAGGGAAGAAGATCAGGGGCAAGAGATTCATGGGTATTTCAGAGTTAATAAGTCCCGAGTAAGCCTTGATGAAGCAATGATCTAGGTACTCATGTTACTTCATTTCTAGGATACCGGTAATAATGGTTCTGGGGCTGAGTCTTCACTTATCTCTGCATTTGGTTTTATGGAAATTCTGTCTGTGCCTTGTTTTTTTACAATCTAAAATTTATTTATTTTTTTTTATTTTTTATTTTTTTACAAATAGTTTATTGTCAAATTAGTTTCCACATAACACTCAGTGCTCATCCCCAAAGTGCCCTCCTCCATGCCCATCCCCCCTCCCCCCCACATCCATCAGTCCTCAGTTTTTGTCAGCATTCAAGAGT